CATTTTCCTCCACCAACAACCGAGCACAAAGGTTTTGTGATTTCCACCTTGGATGGAAAATGTAATCCTAGCTGAAGAAGAGGAAATCATTCTCCTTCATTTGGTGGAAAATCAAGCGCGTGAAGGAAAATAAGGAAAAAGTTTTACCTGGAAAATTAAAGCTATCAAACATGTTAAAAAGTGGGAAAAGGAATTCATTTTCCATTTTTCCTAGAAAATAAGGCCTATCAAACGGGGCCTTGGGGTTTTTCCCAATTGTGAGGATGTTTTGGACATTTGAAATTATTTTTTTATTGTATTTTATAATTGTAAGTCATTTGACCAACAGACATTGAAGGAATGTTGTTTATCCAAATATGTTTTTTGACCAGATTATTTAACAAACTCTCCCAACTCATTTCGAAAAACAACATATTAATAGTTACATATGCGATTTATGATTGAGAAACTAGATGCGGAGATTTCACATGAGGATTCTTTCGTATATCAATGAGGAAATATCAAGAATCTCAACGTTGAAATGCAATAAATCAGGGGGCTGTCAGGGCGAACGATGGTGGCTATGTGTGGGGATCTAGCCAGGAAGATGAAGACAATTAATGAGGTTTTCAATATGTAGGTTTGGTCTGTGTTGTGTTGACGGACAAACAGCTAGAAGATTAGAGAAATTCTTTGTCGGGCGTGGTGGTGGGCTTGTAGTTTGGAGAAGAAGAAGATTCAAAAATATTTTTTTATAATTTTATTTAAGTTATTGGTAATTTATAGAAATAATTTTATTTGGTTCCTTGTAATACTATAATTGATAGATTTTGCGATACGGGTCATGTGGAAAACTGCATGAGCAAAATATTTAAAGGAGAAGGTGAGGTGGAGTGTGGAAGAAAATGAAGTTTTAAAGGTTTGGGATTATGGGCAGCACGTATAAAAAAAATTAGGTATAATTTACAAAAAAATAAAAATTTTGGGTATTTTAATTACAATTATTTCTTTTTAATTTTGATATTTTTTATTGTATTTTGACTACAAATCTGATGGATCTTTGACGGTATGAGGATTTTCACACAAAAGGTTTTAAATAAGGAGTTTTCTGCGATTCTCAATAGGGATGATGTATATCAGAAAATATTTTTAGGGGGTTTTCTATTATTAATCTTATTTTAATTTATTGTTAGTAATAAAAATCCTATTTCTTTAGCTTTAAAACATAAAATTTAATATGCAAGGTGTCGTGGTGTAGTTGGTTATCACGTCAGTCTAACACACTGAAGGTCTCCGGTTCAAGTCCGGGCGACGCCATCTATACTTTTTGTTCTATTGTTACTTTTTTGCGAACAGCAAACGACGTCGTATCATTTCATCATCCGCTCAAACTCCCACCAATTTCTGTAAAAACTTAAATCTCGCAGTAAATCCTCACATATACGCGCATATGTATTCGAACTGTCGGGACTCGGGACCAACCCAAAAAGGGCTTTTGCCACTCTTCTTTCACTGAGTGGGACTGAATCAAGGACGCCGGAGGAGAAAATTGGAGAGCCAATCACGGAGGAGAGCCGCCCGAGCCAAGGAGGAGCTGGTGCTGACACTGCGTAAGGCGTGGTACCATTGAGGCTATCGATGCACCACATGGCACGCCATCGTTTAGACTGCAGCTAGTCCTGAACAAGCCGCGCTCTACAACTGGCATTTCAGCAACGCCAAGCTCATGGGTCGCATTGCTCCTTCCACTATCACCCTCGCCGTCCCTGTGGCTCAGGTGCCGCCACTCTCAATGCCATTCTTTCNTGCACCACATGGCACGCCATCGTTTTGACTGCAGCTAGTCCTGAACAAGCCGAGCTCTACAACTGGCATTTCAGCAACGCCAAGCTCATGGGTCGCATTGCTCCTTCCACTATCACCCTCGCCGTCCCTGTGGCTCAGGTGCCGCCACTCTCAATGCCATTCTTTCCCTTGCAAAACACATCTGCCAACTCGATTCGCCTGTATGTATTAAAATTATAACGTTGTTTGTTTCTTCGTGACATTTTTCTTCATTACTGTACTAACAACTACTCTAGCAATAATATTTAATTCTATTGTTGTATTATTTGTAGTTGTTGATAATGTTTATGTCTATTGTGCTATGTAATTGCCTGTAGTTTAACAAAATTGTTCAGCAAATTCCGAATTTGATGCGTCTTAGATAATGTTCAAAGTTCAACAGTTTTGTACGGTGGTAAATATCGCCAATCCTCTTGCACGTGTGTGTGTGTGTGAACTTTGCAGCCTCCATCAACAATTTTAGGTTTTACATTGCCATTCATTTTGTCACTCAACTTCTATGTATTTGTTTATTAATGAGTAGATGGCTGTAGGTGTGTAATTCATTCATATTTTGTACCCACAATTGCGAAGTATCCATGGGAAAATGACGAGTAAAAGTAAACCTGCATAACTGTTGAACAAACACTAAGATTTCCACAATTGAACCGACTACAATGTTTTGGGACTTCAACCTTGGGCTTCATAATCTTAGGCCCTCATCCTGACCCCTTTCTTCCATCGGGTTGAGGTTTTGATGACACACTATTGTTTACTAAAATTCTTGTAATTAGAACTAAATTTCCAAATAATTGATTCCTGGGTTTTGATAAAATATCATCTTTCATCAGCTGGTAGCAGATTCAAGGAACTGCAATTCTACTTCTACGTCCTATGCTAGCTCAAACAATGAAATTCCTCTCCAGCCACTTTTTGATTCGATGGGCAAAAAACATAAATTACTGCTTCATGCAGGGAAGACTCTGAAAGGGTGACATGGGCTAATCCAATGGGGAAGGGTTTCTCCACTGCCATAGTTGGCAGCAGATGACCATGATGGTGCTGTTCCTTTGCTCATTGATCAATACTTGCAATTGCTTAATGTGCTAGACAAGCTTTCCAAAATGAAGGTTACTCATTATATCATGTTATCTTATAAGATTTGTAAGGCAACCTTGTACGCGATATCATCTCTTATTGTTACAATTCGCATAATGTGCTAGCTCAGTGTTTTTTTGTACATGTAATTCTATTTAGTAATCATGGATTGCGCTTATTAACTGGAATTTTTAATTCTACAGGTGGGTTGTTTTTCATGACTGGGGATGTTCTTCCTTATTTTGATGCTTTCAGCATGGTACTTCCAGATGATTCAGCATGTGTTGTCACTGTTCCAATAACCCTTGACATTGCTTCCAACCATGGTATAATAGTGTCATCTAAATCTGAGTTTCCAGATGAAATTTGTTAGTTTAGTCGCGAATCTGCTTCAGACACGCCCTTAATTAACCAAAAAAAAATTACATCTTTATTAATAACAAATTAATTATTAAACAAAAATATTAAATATAAACTAA